CTAAAAGTTACTTTCTCACTACCGTTCAGCGAGTTTCATGGCTGATGCCAGAAGATTCTAGATGACGAGCAATGACGAGTCATACACAGAAGGTTGATTAGTAGATAAATATATTGTTATGTATGATGTCAGCACTCTTGGATATTTTACGGTATACCGTTTTTTTGCTCCCTATAGGGAGCACTTACTACACTTATTACGGTAGTAGGCCTCCGGCAGAGGAGTTTGCCATCTTCCTGTCAGCTTGCTGTTCTAGTTCTTAACGACTCATTATAGGACGCCATGACTGACTCATAAACTTCACACGTACATTTCACTGTTACATCAACTTGTTGGTCATTGAAAAAGTATCTTGAGAATTTTTAGAGCAGACTATTTGCTTGTCATAACTTTTGGGTGGTATATGAGACTAAAAATTAAAATATGGCCTGGATCAGAGGCAGAATCGATGATAAATAGTAGAACAATACTTAACAATAAAATATTTGACTGTAAGAGAAACTGAAAGAACAAAAATGAAAACAAAAAATGCTATTAGAATATCTAACGTCTCTGATAACCTGAAATTAAAATAAACTCTGAAGAATATTTGCATCTGCAGCACTGAAGGAAAACAGTTTAGAAGAAGGCCAAGCTGTCACGGACAAAGGAAAAACAACAAATGATGAATTTCTTGGTTCATAATTGATCCTTGTATGACTTCATTCTTGTTTTCTGTGTTTCAGTGTATCCCAGCTGGATACCAGGAGTCATACACCCACGGTGTGGCTTCATCGTGCTGCTTCACCAGGCCTTCAGGTAGAGTCAGAGAGTTCCTACCTGCCTGCTGCTGCTGCTGGATCTGTGTACAGCCTGCAGACAGGCCACAGCTCAGCAGAGCTGTTCCCACGCACAGCCACCTGTGAAATGAACATAACACAGTGTGTGTGTGTGTGTGCGTGCGTGCGTGCGTGCGTACGTGCGTGCGTGCGTGTGTGTGTGTGTGTGTGTGTGTGTGTGTGTGTGTGTGTGAGACACACAGCGCAAACCCTCACCACCACCACCACGACTGTGACCACCTACAGAAGTGAACTCACTTCATACGACCAAACAAAGCCTCCAACCTCGGTTGCAACAACAAATGTGGCCAAAACACTTGACCGCAATTACCCAAGCGAAGTCAGACAAATCCATACAGTCAAGATGCCAACCTGCTGTCGCACACTTCAGCTACGCTGTGTGTGTGGGAAGCATTTTAAGAAATCTGTACACACCATCACCATGCATTCAAAATAATCGTTCAGTTACTATAAAAGATGATGGTGCAATTCATTTCAGAGACTTTAAATAAATAAAATCTGTTAATTACTTAAAGGAAATATTTAAAAATTGTCTTATGTTATACTAGTTCTATGGTCGATACATATCATTTTGATGAAGTTCTTTCTTTGCACTAAATCTCTCTCACAAAGCACTTTCAACAATTTTGTTGTTGACATTTTCAGTACCTTCCAGAATGAGCCGTTTCAGGGCTGTGTCACTTTGTGAAAACAAGCAGGAACTGGTCAGGCCACTAGAAGCTGATAAGCTCCGATATTCGTAACGGTCTCAGAGTACAGGAACTACTCCCCCAGCAGTAGCTCTCTTTTGCTCTTGAAAGGTGCTTCTATTCTAATTTTCCCATTTGTGATGTCACAATCTGTACTTTTTGAAACTGCTCATTTTAGGCAAATCATTTCTAAAACTGAAAACTGACAGAAAACAAATAGATGGATTGATTTTGCATTTGGAGTGTTTATGGAGCAGTAGAGACCCACATGACCGCAAAAGGATAATAAATATGAGGTTTGCATACCCTTTAAAGGTATTTTGATTCTGACCATAAAACCCTCCTCAAATATGATGTTAGTAAATTAGCAAATTAGCACTGATTAGTTCACAGACTAGGCAAAATGTCCGATTTTTCTTTGTGGTTTGGTGATGATGTTGCTGAAATTTGCGCAGTTCTAAACACAAGCCAAGCTGTTTTGGTTCTACGTTATTCACTCACAAGGTGTATGACCACTGGTGAGGACTGGGACGTAGATGTAGCTGTTAAATTATATTTATGGCATCTACAATACTGCGGATGCCTTGCATTTGCTAAAATCCTGTTCTTCCCAATGTTTTTTTTTTTTTTTACCAGAGGTGTGGAGATATGATATCACTGCGAGCTGATTTTTGAGTAGTTGGTCCTGGGCCAAACATATGTTGGTGGTCCAGGATTAAAACCAGTTAAAACAAATAATTACTGGTGGCGTGTGACAAAAGTGTGTAGGGAATGTTGTGTTGAAGGAGCAGAAGAAGGCAATGGTCCATATGAACAGATCAGCCCAGAGGTCAGCCTGAGTGCCCACATTACAACCCATCCATCCTTCCTTTAAACCCCAACTGCCATCACTTGTTTTCACTCGTATTGCTGCATGAGCATATAAATGTTTGTGTGTCAAACGCAACCATAGCTCTTCCTCTTCCCTTTCACTTCTTGTTGTTGTTGGGGGCTGGTATTGTAGAGAGTTGTTTTTCATCCGGACTCAAAGCTGCCCTCAACCAATCAGCTCACTCACCCGAACAGCCAATTGAAGCATCCGTTCAAAGCAGCTAAATCAAGGCAAAGCGGGCATCAGTCTACGGTGTCCTTGGCCAACACAAACACACGTTTTAAATCCAGGCTTTAGGATTTCACCGCTGAACCTCAGTGTTGGTCTACTGAAGCCTGAGAGGTTCTTGATTCATGACTGAGATTTCAAAAGTCGTCTTCCACCATCTAAAACACCTGTTTCCTCTTCTATGACTAACGTGAAGCATCTTCCTCAAATAGAGACGTGTGATAATGTTTAGAAAATAGGTTTGGGTACATTTTTAATTTCAGATAAATGAGGACGTCATCTGTTTGGTTATGACAACTCTGGCTTAAAGGTGCATTATGCAGAAATTAAGTAAAAATTACATCATGTGGTAAAATGTGGTTACTGCAACCACTTTAAACAACTATTAAGCTTTTCGCAGCCGTCGTCAAATTCTGTTTGTCGGCGCTGCGGCATTAGCTCAGGAGACATGGCAACCCCATGCTCACTGATAGTAAACAGTAGTTACATCCCTCCTTCCATCCATCCATCCGTCCATGTAGGGAGACACGCAGGACAAACAATCATGCACACACACACACTATCCCTCCTTCCTTTGTTTTGAAAGGAGAAAAACTGACAATCCCCGCAGCCAGATGGATATGATATATGTTTCAGTACAACCTTCCTTCCAAAATGACGAAAACATTTGACTCTTTTGGGATTTTGGGGATTTTCTCACCGTAAAATTCTCACTATAATCTTACATGATGCACCTTTGACAAAAAAAGGATGTAAGAGTAGAAAAAAGGACCTAAATAATCAGAGTATTAATGATTTATTACTCAGTTAAAGAATTTCATTCTGGCTGCTGTTCTGTGTCTGCTCTGTCCTATAAAACAGTGTTTCCCACACTTTATTCCTTCTGATGCACAAAACAACAACAGCTAAGACTTGTGAGCCCAAATATCACGAGTTTAACCAAAGAAATGTTACTAAGAAGCTAAATCAACCCAAGTTTACATTAATAAGTAGTTTTGGTTTATTGCATGCCCGTTTATTAACATATTTTGGATTTTCAAACTATTATAGAAAAAAATGACGAGCTTCTTGGCAAAAAATAATCACATAATTCAGAGCTTTTAAAAATGTAACTTTTTTAATGCATCGTTTTATTAGTCTATTTGGGTTTAGCTGATATCAGTTCAAAGAAAGTTTGGTGATTTTGCTCAAAAAAGGTTTTAATTTTCACCAAAATCTATCACAATTGGCCAAAATTTCTGCAAAAAAGAACCAGACTGGTTAACATGTTTTATCTTGTCCCTTTAGTAACTGCTCGCACAATATTCTGTGTAATTTGTGTTTCTTCCAGATGCATCTAATTATCTAATTAACCACTTAAAAACTGTTAATGATCACTTATTGTGATAAAAGAGAATAATTGGTATTGGCAGGTTGGCACTTGGCTCTTAAAATCAGAATCGGTACATCTCTAAAACATTTTATTAGGAATTAATTTTCGGTTTTATTTAATTTGTAGAGATCATCTCTGTGCCTCCAAACTTTTGTTTTGATGTTCACGGCAGGATCTTGACCCCTGCTTTGGGTATTAATGCCATAAACCTCAGTTTAGGCACTGAAAATGTAACTTATCTTCGTGGTGTCATATCATTTAAAGCTGATTTTGATTTCAAACATCACAGAAAAGAATAAGATAGAAGCTAAATTTTATTTTAAAAATGAATAAATAAAGATCCGCTAGAAAATCTTGAAAACAAGGAAACAACTATAATCCCTACAGGGTGGCGAATCAAGCAGATTAAACCAACCAATCTATTAGATTAAGCAGATATTAACTTGAACGTGACGGATAATCTGTGGTTTCATCTGTTTGTTGTAACACCGACGTCATCAGCTCCTGTTATTGTTTGAACCCCTTGCCTCGTCCCGCACAGCCTGCGCGTAACTTGTGCGTAACGGAGAGAGGCGAAAAGGGGGCGGGGTGACCGTGAAACACCCGAGAGAGCTCCGAAACGGGTGGGTGAAGCTTAAGGTCGAGTAGCTGGAGGCTGACTTTGTCCTCCGTGTGACCCGAGCGCGCGCCCAGAGGACGCATCAACGTGCACCAACTCCAAAAGAGACGGCAAAGGCGGGAGTTCGGCTGTGCGTAGCGTCTCCTTGATCACACGGTGAACCCAGTGAACCCTGAACCAAACAACTCTCACGCCTCTTTCAGCACTCTGTGTCCGTGGAGTGACACCGAGACGCGATACGGAGCCATAAGGACCAATTATGTGGCTTTGAAGTATGCGCAGAGTGCGCAGTTCTGCAGACAGACGCAGATTAAATATAGTTTGAGCTCTGAGCTAAAGCCTTCACCCTGCGGTGTCAGGGTTCGGGTTTCCTGTGGCCTACCTTCCATCCAGCAGAACTGTTGCTGTCGCCTTTATCCTTGAAATAAGGAACAAAGCGAACCATCCAGTCGTAGATCTGGGACAGGGTCAGCCTCTTCTCCGGGGCGCTCTCAATGGCGCGAGTGATCAAGTCTGCGTACGACAGGTTACCCCACGCGTTCCGCCGAGAGGACTTGGCTTTGCGCAGCTGACCGGCCACGTCCAGCGCAGCCCCGGACATGCAGGCGGGGGCTGCCATGAGTGGGGCCGGAGCGCCTGCGGGGTGCTTGATCTCCACCGGCGCGCCGCCTTTCCTCTCGGCCCGGCACGCCGGAACGTTGTACTGCTCCACTTTGACCGACGCCAGAGCCAAAGCTCCGCGGCACGCCTCCTCCTCTCCTCCTGGGAAGTCCTCCGGACACGGCAGCGGCCAGGTGCTCGAGCGCGACCGGCTGTGAGGCTCGAATTCCGAATCGATATCAACCTGATGCGCGTCCATGCCGCTGCTCTCCATCATCATCAGCATGATGACTCCCCGCTAGATGGACGTCAAAAACGCGGTTAAGGTCAATTTAGCACAAAGCCTGTCCAAGCTCAGGTGTGTCCGAGAGTTAGGAAAGCCAAACAGGTCCCCGTGGGTTGGAGGAAAAACGGAATCTGGTTGCGTGGTGTCGCACAAAGAGATGAGGAACCGTAAAAAGCCGGCTGCGTCCCCTCAGCGCAACAATGTGGCATCACATCAGGACCGATGGAGGTGTCTCCGATGCAACAGGATCAGTCTCAGTTCCATGTTACCCGGCTGTGTGGCTGCATGCATGACCAGGGGACACATCCACATCCACGCTCCGGCTGCAGCAACAGTTGAGTCAAAATAAAAAATCAATCAAAAATAAGATAAAAGCTCACCAGACTCTAACAGACTTGTCTGACAGCTTTCCTCTGCCCTCAGCTCAAACTCACCACGAGCGCAATTCCTCTCTTAGAAATAGAACCAGACTCTCATGAATGATTTATTCTAAGCCGCGGATTTCCAGACTGGAGGAGAAGAAAAAAATCGGCTCCTGGTGGATTTGATGTGGAGCATCCTTCTTTCTCCTGCTGCTGGAGCACATATCACTACCGTCTCTCTGTGCACGTGTCACACGCCTCCGTGCGCGCTGCTCTGCCTCTACTACAAGCCCTCTGAAGGCTTCAAGCCACTTAACCGTTGTAGGGAATAAAGTGGAATAAGTGCTGCTTCCATATAATTGGACGCCGCCTGGATCGAGTCACTCCCTCAAGAACCGGATTCAGAGCGGGAGGAGGGTGTGTGTGTGTGTGCGTGTGCGTGCGTGTGTGTGCGTGTGTGTGTGCGTGCGTGCGTGCGTGTGTGTGTGTGTGTGTGTGTGTGTGTGTGTGTGTGTGTGTGTGTGTGTGTGTGTGTGTGTAGGAGCAGATATTCAATTTACATCCTGCAACCAATTTCCCTCACCCTTTCTGTGTTTATCATATTATTTATTTTTTATATTCCACAGGTGGCAATCGCTCGTTTTTAATTCCATTTTGTTTAATTGAAGATAAACACAACCTCATTTCATGGCTTTAAAACTATTTTAATTAGACTGCATCCAATTAATGCAGAACTCTTCAAAGTAGCTTGTCACCTGTAATGATTTGGTGTTTAAAACGTTAGCGAGGGTCCGAACACAAAACAAGGTTCCTTTTCTCATCGCTTTAAGCCCCACAGGGAAGGATATAAAGCTGGGATTAAATAATCTGTGTTTTGATCAGAAAGGTTTAAAAGCAACATGTCAGACTGAGTTTTTAAATGAATCATGCTGATAAAATGCATTAAAATGAACTTTAATAGAGACTTTATTCATTTATTTCACCAGTTAGATGCTCTTCACTTACATTCTGTCCTTTTTCACATCTTTGAATCCTTTAAAGTTTTAATTTACTCATATTCTTAATACATTTGCAGTGGTCTCTAGGAGGTATATAGGAACAGGCACCTTGTGAGTCTACTTAGGGGAGGGGGGGTCCCGGAAAACCAATAAATTAATGCAAGTCAGTGGAGCTAAATGAGCTATTTTCTAAACCACATACACCATATGTGAAATCCATGGCACATAACTTTGACTTGCATTCATTCTTTCGTTATTCTGGGGACCCATGGTCTGGAAGTAGAAAGGCGTGACTTAGGCTCTCCATGTTGTGCAATTGACAACAGCTAATGCAAGACATGGGGGTAGAAGACTTTTTCACATTTAGCCTGCAGGTAAAATTCATGCAGTTACCAATCCTATTTCAAAAATTAGTAAAAATAAATTAAATAAAAGGTTTTCTTAGTGAACTTTGTCTTTAAGATACATAAAAATATAGACCAGAAAGAAGATATTTTTTACTTATTTAACAGATGAAGCTCTCCTTTCTTGACTCAAAGAGCCCAGCATCCCAACCACGTGATTTAACATTGTCAGGTCAAAGAATCAAACTCCCCTCTCTGTCTTTGTCACACACCAATGCCTTTGGTGGCTTCCAGTCCATAAAGAAGCTCCATCAATAGCTGCTCTGTGTGTTGTACCCTCCTCTGGAAACCCCCAACACTGATAGAGTCTGCCACTCTCTGACAGCCGGTTGTCAGTGACAACCATAACCTCAAATGCACCTAAATGGAATGCTTTCATGAGAACTAAATGGGCCTATCAACAAGAAGAGGGAAAGCGGTCTGTGTTTGTGACGGGCGGAGCGGATGAAAAAAAAAAAGACAGAGATGCTGTAAATGGGAACAAACAGATGGAAAATACAAAACACATGGCTCTGCGGTTTGGAGAGGGGACTATTTTATGTGCTGCAGAGGAGTTGTAACAGGAATGTGGTGTGACTCCTATAATATGGAATGAAAAGACTGAAGTTGTGCCAGCAGGGTGGATATAGGGTGTTCAGCTGTGGCTTACAGCAAAGTCCTCGTCATTTCGAGTAGGTGATAGGCTGCTGCAGCGTAAACATGAGAAACATGAGTCACACGGCTGGACGCTGTGTGATGCAGACGGAGAATTACACCCAGTGTGACACAGAGGGAGTGGAACAGTCAAGTACTCCATAGATGTGCACTGTGTTAATCTAATAATAAAACTGGAGCTTTCAAGTTTCTCGGAGACATATTTTCTCCATCTGTGGCCCATTTTCAACCCGTAATTGATTGAAATTAATTGATTAGTTAGGCATGTGCAGTAAATCGGTTCATACCCAAAACTGGTCTTTGTATGAATTTTTCAAAGACGGCTAAATCGCTGAACAGCTTAGACAACGTCCGGAACATTTGCAGTGGAAAGTTTTTCAGCGGGTACCGATTTCACAGCTGCACACTCACACCACATCCTGTGGGTGTTCCTCAATGTCAAGGTGCCTGGCCTTGCAAGGCGATGTCTCGCGAGGCCAGGCACCTTGCTTACAAGGACACAGTCCTTCCTCGGTCAACGAAAACAGTTAAATGGAACAGAATTACATCATGTGAACGCAGCTTCCACGGCGGTCACGTAACGTCACGTGACACGGGAGATAACGTTATATTTTATACGTATTAGTTTATATATAAATATATAATGACCCATTTACTTTTTAAATTGTGTATATGTTTGTTAAATTAAATATGTACGTGAGTTACTACCCGCTAGCCACCAAAGCTGCAACTAACCAACCATAGTTAACTTATTTGAATCTAAAAACACATTTTAAATTAGTTGACTTACTTTTAAACTTGAAATTTGCCCCCAAAGTAGCTGCCGGCTTGTGATCCGCCATCCTTTTGAAAATATCGTGGTGTATTCTGGGTAATTTTTGACCAAGGTTAGGTTACAAGACACCTCCCTTGTATCCTTGCTCATCTAGCTAAACGGCTAACAAACGGAGAACACACTCCTTGGTAGAACAAGAACATCAGAACACACCTTGGCGGTTCCTGATGACATCTCCTAGGCGACCGGGGTGGGGCCAAGACATCAAGGCAAGATTCCTTGGCATTGAAAAACACCCTGTGTGAAATATAAAGAAGACATTTAGCACGTAAACCACAAAGCTAGCTCTAGTAGCTGGGCCAGACATGCACGAAAGTATGTTTATCACATGAAAAGTGTGCATTGTTAACACATAAACACGTACCTAACATTTTGCCTACATTTACACATACATTTCTTGTGTATTTGGCACTTTGGCTAAGGCCAAACTAGGCTTCGTTTGTTCTACTTGATTTTTATTGGCTGCCAAGATCTTGGGTTGAACCAATGCACCAGGAAGAAGGGGTGGCTGCCCGCACCAATTCGCAGCACAAAGCAGTTCTTTTTCAAGTACAATCCTTTGAAATATTTGAAGAGTAAATAATGTCATGCTGACCATCGAGAGCCTAAGTCTACTCCCTTTCCGGTCGTCTCATGGGTGACATGGGAGCCTGGGGATCAAACTTGTGTGCCAAACGGGTATCCCTGGGGCCAAAATGTCAGGGCGCGTGATCAATCAGCATACAGTGACAGGACGCTCATCCTGTCACATCTTCCCCCCTCTTTCAACAAGCACGTGCCCGTGCTCTCGTGCAGGGTTGCCACTAGTGATGGGACTTATGGCTCTTTCATGGGAGCCGTTCATTAGTCGGTCGTTTACCTTAAAGAGCCGTTCAAAAGACTGGCTCCTTTGATCGAAGTGAAGCCAAGAGAGCGGGGGGGGGGGGGGGGGGGGGTAATCAAGAGCAACGTCTTCCTGCGGTGTCCGTGAGGGCTCACGGGGTTGGTTAGTTGGTTATAAATACGTGTTTATATACACATCTATGGTTCCTCCTACGTCCGTCACAGCAGTGGGTGGAGTTTGAGCGGGTGAGTTTGACCGACTTCCGGGGAGGTTTGTTAAGATGAACGGCTCTCTGCAGGGACTCGGCTCTCATCATTCACTTTGAAAACCCGTTCAAAAGATTTGATTCGTTCCTGAACGTCACATTACTAGTTGCCACAAACTTCAAATCCATGGCCCTACTTCAAAGTACAACATGGATTCTGCCAGCAATGCCAAATATGGCATGGTGGAGAAACAAGGGCCCAAGCAGGATTCAATCCCCAGACTCCCAGGTGAGATTCACGTGTGCTAGCCAGTCAGCTAAAGGGATATCCCCGTGGCCATGTAGCCAGGGCGCATGATCCATCGGGACCATCGACATATATACTGGACAATAACACGTTTTTGTGCCAAAATAGGAGGTGGCCACCACCGCCATTTTGACCGTGTCACAGGTTCCGTCAAGCCCAGACAATTCCACAAAAGGGAAGAGAGGTGGAGCTGAGGGTGGGGCTGTAAGGCTGGGATCAACTGACGACACCCGGTCGAACTAGCTACAAGCTAACCTGAAGCTAATCCAAAGCTAACGCGGAGGTGGGAGCTACGCTAACGGAGGTAGCAGCCTAGCTACAACCGGAGTTAAATGTGCACAACACCAGAGCTTCTGAGTCAGAGATACGCCGGGCTGACCGCTGGGTAAAACCGGGTGGAACACAGAGGTCTCCGAGAGCTCCACAAGCCAGCAGCCGCACAGCAGACAAGTGCCGCTGCGATCAAGCAGTCAGCCCGCGCAGCAGAAAGAAGCCGCGATCAGACAGAGATGCGCCGAGCTGCGGGGAGGGGAGAACGGGTGGAAAACGTCGGTCTCCCGAGAGCTCCACAAGCCGATAGTCGGAACCCAGCTCCACCAACATGTTATATTTCAACCCATTTTCTAAAGTGCAGCATTATGTTAAATGCACTGGGTTTTACCCTATTACATTTAAGTTTCATGGTTAAACAGTACATGTTAAAATCTAAGCTCAGCTCGGCAGTGACCTAAAATACATAAATATAATTTTACTTACCGAAAAAATGAAGTGGAGACTCCTTGGACGCTCTATTAGTGCAATTAATGCCACAGCAAATCATTTTGTCCAACAATTGCACAAATAATATCCAAACAAGAATACACAAACACAGAGACTCAAAATCCCGGAACAGTTTCCAGGCCAGACCGAGGCTCTACTGAGGCCTTTCCACGGAGCTAGCTCTGTGGTCACGTGGGTCTGATGCTCATTAATTATACAGAATTTTAGGCTTTTAATACACTTAAACAGAAGAGTGAGAAAAAAATTCACCCCCCTCAGAGTTGTCATGAGTGTAAACTAGATCATTTAAACCAAAAACATGTTCTGGTACCAGGCTGTAAACATGTTTATTTCTGCTGTGAAATTGGTATTTTTAACATGGGAGTCAATGAGGATTTGCTCGCTTCTGACACCAGCCCCTAGTGGATGAGGGTGGAACTGCAATTTTTGGTACTTCCGGGTTGGCGTCAATTTTTGAGCCGCATTGTGGGGGCTTGGTCGGGACACAGTGACAGGACGCTCACCCTGTCACATTTACATAGAAACACATTC